TTAGGAGTAATCCCATGTTGGACCTTAGGCCTGGATAAATGACACCCTCTGAAATACCAAATTAGATTTCAGGAGCCTTATTCTGATATTTCAGAGATTTGGTGACCGTGGTTCCTCACAGAACCAAGGAGTCAGCTGTGACACTGTGCAAACTCATGGAACAAAGGGTCCATGGTGACACAGCAGAACCCTATGGAACCAAAATCCATTTGGGCGCATTGGGGCCACAATGAACCAATGGTCCATTGTGATACTGCGGATCCAAAGAGACCATTGTGACCCTGAGATACCTCTTGGAACCAAGGGGCCATTGTGACACAGCAAGGCCTGGTGGAACCATGGGTCCATTGTGACACTGCAGAACCTCACGGAACCAAGGCGAGCGTGTTCTACTGCGGGACCTCATGGAACAAATGGTCCATGATGACACTGCAGAACCAAGGAGACTGCTGCTGGCAGTGTGAGAGCTCATGGAACCACAAGTCCATTGTGACACAGCAAGGCCTGATGGAATCAAGGGTCCCTTGTTAAACTGTGTGGCCTCATGGAACCATGAGCCATTGTGACACAGCAGGGCCACATGGAGCCAAGGCGCCACTGTGACCCTGCAGGTCCAAGGAGACCATTGGGACTGAGGAACCTCATGGAACCAAGAGTCCATTCTTCCACTGTGGGGCCCTGTGGAACCAAGGGGAGCACAGTGACATTGTGGGGCCTCACGGAACAATGGAGACTGTTCTGACACTTTGGGACCCACAGGAACCAAGGGGCCATTAGAGCATGGCAGGGCCTGGTGGAATCAAGGGCACTGCAGTGAACACTGTGGGTGTCCATGGGATGAAGGGTCCGTTCTGACACCGTGGAACCAAGGATACCATTGTGGCACTCTGGGGCATCATGGAACCAAAGGTGCATTGTTCCACAGCAGGGCCTCATGGAACCATGGAGGCCATTTATATACTTGGAGGCCTTGTGAAACCAAAGGGCCATTGTGGCACTTCAGAGCCTTGTGGAGCCAAGGGGACCATAGTGACACTGTGGGGCTGCATGAAACCAATGGTCTGTTGTGACACTGCAAGGCCTTCTGGGATCATGGAGACCATTCTGACACTACAAGGCCTCATGAAACCATGGAACCATTGTGACACTCTGCAGTCTTGGCAGGCCAAGGAGCAGTTGTTACACTGTGTGGCACCATGGAACCAAGGAGGCCATTGTGACACTGCAGGGCCACATAGAACTAAGGAAACATGAAACAGTGCAGGACCCCATGGAACCAAAGGTCCATTGGGATATTGCAAGGCCTCATGGAACCAAGGGGACCATGATGACACTTGGAGGCCTCGTTGAATCAAGGGGCTCTGCAGGGCCTCATGGAACCAAGGAGGCCGTTCTGACATTGTGAGTCCCCATGGAACCAAGGGTCCATTATGATACTGCAGTACCAAGGAGACCCCTGTGACACTGCCAGGCCTCGTGGAAGCAAGGGTCCATTGTGACACTGTGGAGCCCTATGGAAACAAGAGGCCAGTGTGACACAAGAATGCCTCATGGAACCATGGAGTCCACTGTGACGCATGGGGCCTCATGGAACCAAAGGAGCATTGTGAAACAGCAAAGCGTCATTGAACCAAGGGCACAATAGTGACACTGTGGGGCTCCAAGGGACCAAGGGGGGATTCTTAAAGTGCAGAATCAAGGAGACCATTGTGACACTCTGGGGCATTATGAAACTACTGGTCCATTGTGACGCACTATGGCTGCAGGAAACCATGGGGGCCATTTCTGCACCTTGAGGCCTTGTGAAACCAAAGGGCCATTGTGGCACTTTGTGTCTCCATGGAACCAAGGAGTCCATTGTGACACTATGAGGCCCTGTTGGGCAATTGTGGCTCTGTGTGGCACCATGGAACCAAGGGACTATTGTGACACTACAGGAACTAAGGATGTGACATCCCCATGGAACTAAGGATTCATGGAACAACGTGGGACTCATGGAACCAGAGGTCCATTGTGACTTTGCAGGGCCTCATGGAACTAAGGAGAGGGACAATTGTGACACTGTGGGGCCCAATGGAAGCAAGGGGCCAGTGTGACACAGCTGGGCCTCATGCAGCCAAGGGGCCACTGGGTTTGTGAGGAGCCCAAAAGAACCAAGGGGCCATTTTTGACACTCTGCAGCTGTGGAGACCCTGAGAGGCATTCCCTGGGTTAGGGAGACACAAGAAGCTTCCCTCAAAAGATGTTTGACCCCATTGGCTCCTTCCCCTTGTTCTGTGTCCTTCAGCCCCTCCCTCCCTATTCCCCCATTGGCCTCATCTTTGTACTGCCCCCATGGCACTGATCAGCCTCTACCTCTGGAGATACAGAAACCTGGACTCCCCCCAGGAGTCCTGCCTTGTGACCCAGAACATCTCACCGCACGGCTGAATTAAACATCTGTGGGTACCATGCAAAGGCCCTTTTTGCTTCCCTACCCTGGGCTTTATTAGCAGCTATTGCAGCTGCAACAATGGCCCATTATGGCAGTGTGGATCCAAGGACATCATGGTGACACTGTGGGACCTCATGGGTCCAAGGGACCATTGTGACACTGAAGAACTTCATCAAACCCAGGGTCCATTGTGACACAGCAGGGCCTCATTGGAACAAAGAAACCATTGCTGACAGTATAGAAACTCACGGGATCAAGATTCCATTCTTATGCAGTGGGGCTTCATGGAACCAAGGAACCACTGTGACACAGCAGGGCCACATGGAACCAATGGTCCATGGAGATACTGCAGATCCAAGGAGACCATGGTGATGCTGTGGAACCACAATGGAGCCAAGGGGCCATTGTGACACTGTGGGGTTCCATGGAGCCAAATATTCATGGTGACACAGCAGGGCTGCTTGTGACCAATTGTCCATTGTGACACTGCAGATCCAAGAGACCAGGGTGACACTCTGGCAGTTCATGGAACCAAGGGGCTGTTGTGACACGCCAAGGCCTCGTGGAACCAAGGAGAGCATTGTGGCAGTGCAGACCCAAGGAGGCCATTTTGACAGTACGGAAACCAATGGAACCAAGGGTCCCTTTTTCCACAGCAGGGCCTCATGGAGCCAAGGGGCCATTGTGAAACTGTGGGGCATAATGGACTCAAGGACACAACTGATACTGAAATCCACTGGATAGAAACTTCTGAACAGTTTTGAGTATTTGAAAGCACGTATTCTTTATTACAGTATGGTGGTCATTTGGGCCATCCTTCCTCCATTGGAGTGCATTAAGCATTGAATGAACAGCGTTTTTATCACACACACTGATTATGTATCCATTAGCTATCCCCAGTTCCTTTGAGTTTATTTGACATAGTTGAACCCCCTTATCACAAATCCTTTCATCGTTCTTTGGATTTTGTCTTCAACATCCAGTGCCCTTTTTAGGTGCCTCTTCCTTGACCCCTCCTTTTGAGTATGGCAATATTATTGTTTTGCATAACTTCTGCTTTGTCAGCCTTGCAGAGCTGAGCTGGCATCCTGCTTGCATTTTGTGTGACTTCTGTTTGCCAGAGGTGCGTCCTCAATCAGTTTCTCCAAGGCTGTTCTGTTCTACTGTCCCTCAAAAGAGTAAATCTTGTTTTGGTCTCCTGTCCTTGTCTCAGTGCTCGCCCCGCATGAGGCGTCTGCAACGCCCCCCAACCTATGGGCCTGGGGTGGGCAAGTGTTACTGGGGGACAGGGATGGGACAGCTGGGCTGAACTGACTCAAGGGATGTTCCATTCCATGTCACACCGTGATCAGAAATCAAGTTAGAGAAGCGGGAGGGCAAGAGTGGTTGGGAATATTTTTTTTTTAAGATATTTTTCTTTGAAAAAAGCAGCTGCAAATACAGAATCCTCTCCTGCCACAGGGTGGTAAAACATTTTCTGCTAATAGGAGATTTGCTTTTCTTCTGTTTATGGTCTTTTCTTTTTGTGGTTGGTTTGTTTGTGGGGTTTTTGTGTTGTTGGGGGTGGGTGTTGCTTTGGTTCTTTTTGGTTGGGTTTGGGTTTTTCACTATTGAACTGCCTTTCTTCTGATGCATAAGTTTTTCCTGCCTTTTCTTGTGGCTTGCTTGGCACCTGCTGGCCTGGTCACTTGGTGTCCCTCTGTGCAGGGACAAACAACCTCCTGCAGGTGGGGAGAGGCCAGTGCTGGCAAAGGTGGTTGCAGGGGCTGGGGTGGGACAATTGCCCTGAGGCACCTTCCCAGGCTGTCCCAGAACAGAGACACAGCCCAGGCCCTGCTCTGCTGCTGCCACAGGTCCATGCCAGGAGCTCTGGCTGTGCCAGGACACTGCTGTGAGCACCCCCTGGCACACTCCCCCCGGCCCCAGGCACTGGGCTTTGCTGTGCCAGGGCATTCCTGGAGCACATTGCTGACAGCAGCTCTGGAGGGGAGCAAAGCCTCCCTGCCCTGCCCTCAGGAGATGCCCTTTGCTGCTGGAGCTGCTGTGCTGGAGCCCAGCTGTGTCCCAGCAGTGCCCATGGCCTGGTCCTGCCTGTGGCCACAGCAGGGACATGCAGCAGGACAGTGACCAAGCTGCCAGAGCACTCTGGCCTTATAGCCACAGCAGGGCTGGCAAGGACAGGGTGGAGTTGGGCAGAGCAGCTTTGAAAGGACCAATCCCTGCTGCTCCCTGGCCGTGCTGCTCTGCTGGGACTCTTTTTCCCTTCTTCCCTCTAACTTCATGCAGGTCTCAGAGTTGAGATCTCTGATAAAACAGTAACTGCAAGGTAGTTTATTTTCTTCAAATGCAGCTATCCTCCAAACCCTGGTTTACAGAGCTTCTGGGTCAAATTCAAGAGGCAGACAGTGAATTTGATGCGGGTGATTAAAAAAATTTATTGAGTATCATTTTATAACAGAAAACCCCATTGAACACTACCAATGACCTGGGCAGGCCTGTTGGGCCTGTTGCGAGTTCCGTTCAAAAAGCTATGCAGAAGAAAACAGGAAGTTGGTTGATTCAGAAATCATCCAGTCATCATTTTCTTCAGGGCAGCCTTGAGCTCCTGGTTCCTCAGGCTGTAGATGAGAGGGTTCAGGGATGGAGGCACCACCGAGTACAGAACTGATACTCCCAGATCCAGGGAGGTGGAAGACGTGGAGGGATGGGGCTTCATGTAGGCAAAGGCTGCAGTGCTGAAGAACAGGGAGACCACGGCCCGGTGAGGGAGGCAGGTGGAAAAGGCTTTGTGCCGTCCCTGCTCAGAGGGGATCCTCAGCACAGCCCTGAAGATCTGCACATAGGAAAAAACAATGAACACAAAACAAACAAAAGCTATGGAGACAGTGAAAACAGAAACTTTTAGTTCCCTGAGGTAGTATTTGGAGCAGGAGAGCTTGAGGATGTGTGGGATTTCACAGAAGAACTGGCCCAGGACATTGCCATGGCACAGGGGCAGGGAAAATGTATTGGATGTGTGCAGCAGAGCATTGAGAAAGGCACTGGTCCAGGCAGCTGCTGCCATGTGGGCACAAGCTCTGCTGCCCAGGAGGGTCCCGTAGTGCAGGGGTTTGCAGATGGACACGTAGCAGTTGTAGCCCATGATGGTCAGGAGGGAGAATTCTGCAGAAATTAAAAAGGCAAAGAAAAACACCGGAGCAGCACATCCTTTGTAGGTGATGTTCCTGGAGTGCCAGAGGGAATTTTGCATGGCTTTGGGGACAGTGGTGCAGATCATGCCCAGGTCGCTGAGGGCCAGGTTGAGCAGGAAGAAGAACATGGGCGTGTGCAGGTGGTGGCCGCAGGCTACGACGCTGATGATGAGGCTGTTGCCCAGGAGGGCAGCCAGGGAGATGCCCAGCAAGAGGCAGAAATGCAGGAGCTGCAGCTGCCGCATGTCTGCCAATTCCAGCAGGAGGAAGTGCCTGATGGAGCTGCTGTTGGACATTTGCTGCCTCAGGAAATGGTTTTCTGCTGAAGAGGAAAAGGCAGGACAGAGCTGGGCCAGGCACAGAGCAAAATCTATTACATATCTCATAGCAATTCAACATTCAGAGTCTCTCTTTTTAGGAACACTTCTCTGCATTCCCCTTTCCTGGGCCCTGGGTTTTGCAGGCATTGAGAGCAGGGACTTGCAAATGGGCTCCAGAGGATTCCTTAGTCCTGTCCAGTGAGAGGCAACTGAGAATGCTGGATGATCACCAATTAAATGGACTCGTCAAACACCAGAATGCTTTTCAGTCCTGCTGTTTGCAATTTGCCCATCTGAATAACTGAGCTGAGGAAATTCCTTGTCTTTTTTCATCCAGCTGCACCTGCCACAGTTAGGAGTGGTTGTGGGTGTCTGAAATCCCTGACATTTCTAAAGCACTGCAGGTGAATCCGTGTGGGTGTGAGAGGCACCGGGATGGTCTCTCAGTGCAGGGACAAGAGAGCAGCTCTGCCCATCAGGGCTGCTCTCAGCTGCCCCTTGTTGGCAGCTTGGAGCTGAAGGAGAGGCACCCAGAGGAGTTCCCCTCAGAGAAACAGGGCAGTGCTGAGGGCAGAGGGCTCTGGGCAGAGAGCACATGGACAGAGCCCTCGCCATCTCCCAGAGTGCCTCATGAGGATCTCAGCTGTCTCCTGCCAGGCTGGTGCACAGAGGGATCATTGCAGTGCCCAGGTGCAGCTGCCAGCAGCATTTCCCTGGCCCTGCCACTGAGCTGTCTCCTCCATGGGGATCCCAGGCAGCCCAGAGACAGCACAGGAGAGCTGTGCCCTTCTGGAGAGCATCCTGCAGCCCTGCAGGACACCCAGGGAATGAGCTGAACGGCCCTGAGGGCACCTGGGCACTCTGCTCCCACAGACACATCTCCACAGCAGGCTCCAAAGGGTCCCTGCCTGGATGGGCACCTGCCAGCCCCAAACCCTTGCTCTGCCTCAGAAACCCCAATGGTGGCAACAAGGACAGCACAGGCACCTGGAGATGGCAGAGAAATGTCACAATGCTCCTGCCAGGGGACAGCAGGGACACAGAGACTGATGGAGATCAGGGGCTTGTCCTTCCTTCCCTGGGCTCTGGCTGCTGCAGGGGCTCTGCACAGCCGAGCCCCCGTGGGATGAGGGCAGGGGCTCTACTTAGGATGGGAAAAAAGCCCAGGGAGGAGCTGCTGGGGGAAGGTGCCTGAGCCACAGGGACAGCAGGGAGGTGCCACATCCCCCAGGCCAGCATTTGTGGCAGCAGCTCCCTGTCCCTCCCTGCCCATGTCTCTGCTGAGTGGGGCTGTTACTGCCAGCAGCGTCTCCCTGTGCCCAGCTCCACTCCCTGCCAAGGCTCACAGAGCCCATCCCCACCCCATGGCCCTCTGCCTGTCCCTGCAGGGACCTGTCCTGTGCCTCTGAGGGGGCAGCAGGGAAGCCCCGCTCAGGAGCTTGTTCTGCTCCACACCAGGACATCCAGGAGAGCCACCCTGACAGGTCCTGTCAGTGCTGGCATTGTCAGAGACACTTCCAGGAACTCACCTGCATTGCCTTGCAGCCAGAGACTCACCGTGTCCAGGGGCTGTGCAGATTTGTCCCCTGAAAGGGGTCTCTCCTTTCCTCCCACCCCACCCCTTTGTCACTTGTGCAGCCTCCCCTTGCTGCCTGCAGATACTGCCCTGTCTGCCCTATGGCCACCGCCTCCGCACCAGAGGAACTGGGACAGCCCATGCAAAAGATCATGGAAACTCTGGGATGTGCCAGCCTTAGGAGATCTGTCCAGGAATGGAAGTTTAACTTTCCTAGAGGCAGAGAATTATTCATTCAAACCCTGGGAAGATTTTTCCCCTAGCGGGAGCTCAATCACCCTCCCAGCCCAGGCTGCCTCTGCTCTCTCTGTGCCTCTGTGCTGTGCCCGGGTGGCTGCAGGCAGAGCCCCAGCCCTGCTGGGCTGGGAGAGGAACTGCTCCTAGCCAGAGCTGTCTCTCTGCAGCTCTGCTGCCCTTGCCAGGAGCTGCCTCAGGGCCAGGAGCTGCCTCTGCGCCAGGAGCCCAGCCCAGCCCAGCAGCACAGACACTGCACAAGGACTTCTCTTGTGGGTTGGGTGCTGAGTCCCTGAACATCAGTCCCTGATAGGGAGTTGAAGAAATCACTTAAGAATTCAAAGTCAATATCCCTCTCCAAAGTTTCTTGAAGTTTTAATGAGTCCCACAGATGGACACAACTGGGAAAGTGTCCCCAGGTTCCAGTTAGAGCAGAACACTGGAGGCAGTGATGACGGCTGGGGACAAACAAGGCCAAGGTGTCTCTGGTGCTGAGCAAAGCTGGATGTGTTTGAGGAATGCAAAGGGCCAAGGCTTGAGCCCCAGCCCCTGGCCAGGCAGATGCTGTCCCTCCCTCCTTGCTCAGGGCTCTTGCCGGGATGGGCACTGGCATGTGGGCATGTGCAGTGGCAAGGGCAGGAGCATGGGGTGGCCCCTGCCAGGCTGCTGAGCAGGGACAAGGAGGCAATGAGGCCCCAGGCCTGCAAGGGTCACTTGTCTCCTGCTCCTGCCTCAGGCCCAGGCCCAGCAGCCATGGCCAAAGTGCTGCCCAAGTTGGCTCTGGCAGGGCTGTCTTGCAGCTGCTGCACATGCCTGTGCCCTGTGCAGCCCAGGCTGTGCTATGGTCTCCCTGCCCTGCACCTGTTATAAATGAGAAGCTTTATGAGAGGCCAATATTCAAGCAGCAATCAATTTATTATTTAATATTGTAAAGTATGAGCAATACAGCTCTGGGTGCAATGGGGGAAATTTTCCCTCCAAGTGCACACCAACACTTGAGGCTTACAGGTATTTATAGGGCTACTCATCAGCTTTCTGAGCAGTTTCTCTTCCAATTTTTACTCATCAACACTTTCCCTTCCCAATTTTTCTGTCACAATTCTATACACTATTGTGATTAAGTTTTTCTCAGGATGTATCCCAAAAAGGAGTATGCCCAGATGGTGGTGGTCCAGTTTCTGAAAGAAGATAGACGGATCCCATCTGGTGGAGTCCAGTTCCCCAGATGTGGCTCCACCTTTTGATTACAGAGACTATAAATCTAACAGTGATGTCCAGCTTCCCTTGGTCAAAAATGTAAATCCTCGAGTTGATGTTCATCTTCCTTTCTCAAGCTGCTTTTCTCTGTTTTGTTAAGGTGTGAGATAAGCAGGTTTCCTTTATATATATTCCAAAGCTATAGTTTCAAGGATACAAGCAATATTCTAAAATTACACTTCAAAAGGTTATTATTGCAGAGCTCTTTATCGATTAACTACAAGCTAAGAGCAACATCCTTAACACTTTAATTCAAATGCTCCTCAATCAACCAAGGTTAATTGCAAACAAAAGATAGGTTCAAAGGCCTTCTTCCATGCTTTATTTTCCTCAGTTATTATTAGAATTCGCAACCCTCCCATTGTCGGTCTCCACACTTATCGCAATCACAAATACACACATTGCCTGTTTGTACCTGAAAGGAAACACAGCTTTGTATTTCACATGTGTCACAGCTGGCACTCGAAACACTGCATGTCCTCTGAGCAATACCGCATGGGCGATATTCCACCATCCAAAGGCTGCAAGATCAGCTGCACAGGGCATGGAGGACTCGGCCTCGTGTGTGGGGGCTCAGCTGGCTGCGCTGCTAGAGCTGTGCAGAGAGCTGATGCCAGAGGCTCTGTCTCCTGTGGCCACCTGAGCCAGTAGAATTTTCTGTTTCTTTAAGGTTTTTCTTTTTTTCTTTTCAATTTTTTATCTCTATTGTAAATAAATAAATTATAGCGTATATCAAATTCTACCTATTATTATATATTATAGATTACTGTAAATAAATAAATTCTAGAATGTGTTATGATACACAGTCTGCCAGTGATAGTGGTGCCCGGGAAAACTTTAGAGGTAGAATCTAAAATGTTAGGCTTTGTGCTTTCCCAGATCAACTTCACCTGCATAAACAGTATGATAAATTATGTAATTGTTAGATGTGATGATTGTTTAATAATTAAATGTAATTACTATATAACCATAAGAAGAATAATGAGAAACTATGTTGGAAATTCAGAGAGGGGCTAAATTTATGTATACAATAGAACAATATAAGTAAAATAATTAACGTGAAAGTTATGTAGCGATAGAGTATAAAACATGATCATTTTGAATGTATGGTCGGAATCAGATTTGGGTTGAATGTACCCCGATTCCCAGAGCTCTTAATAAAAAGCACCGCATATAATCGCTCCATGATTATGTGTTTTTGAAGGCCTACATTTTGGCGACCCAGATGCGTCCCTTGTGAGTGCTGCTGAGCGAGTTCGCGACTCGATCACGCTCCAGCCGGCACTGAGGGATTCTCGGGGAGCCCATCGGCTGCGACCGCTCCTGCCACTCACAACGTCCCTGGGAGAAAGGTAAGGTGCTTTTTACTTTGGTTTGGTTTTGGATGCCTGCCAAATAAGACACAGCGAAAGCTACGCTTGGTTGGGCTAAAGGAATTCCTGTTGGTACAAGCCTAGGCGTCGTTCTGTAAGACAATCGCGAAAGCGTTGCGGGTTCGGCATTTGTGGTATTTTTGAAATGGAGAAAC